AATTTTTTTTACTTTTTCAAATTCTGATGTGCTTGGGTGAAACAACTTTTTATCATATTTAAGAGCATTTTGAATTGATTTAAGATTGAGTACAAATCAGATAGATGTTGGTTGAACTTGATTTGCCAGGGTATTAGAGGTTGTATCAAGAATTTTTAAATGATTCATAAGCTCTGAAATCAAGATAAAAACAATATATGTCATTCATAATAGTCCAGTTTTAAAGATCTAAAAAAACAAATTGTTTAAACACACTTAGTTTTGAACTTACCTGTTGCTAACATTAAAGGAGTTACATTTTCAATTCTCTTTGTGATTGTTTTTCTTACTGAATTGGACATTCAAAGTAGTTTTTTCTGAACGTATTTGGGATCTTAATTTTCATGATATTCAATATTACACAGGTTAAGTAGTTTATCTTGAGGAACTAAAATATGACCTTTCCAGTCGCATTTGCACTTATTACAACTATTCTTTAGAAAACACAATTAGTATTTTATAATTTATTAAAAGATGATGAACCAAATTTTTTTTTATCATATATACCTGAACAGAACACCTCAGGTACTCCACATATGCAAATATTGAATCTGATAATTGCACCTCATATTCATCCATCTCTTTCACGCATCTTTATTAAAAAAATAATAAGAATCTACTTAATATATAATTTGTGCCACTCAAAAACAACTTACTCGACTTCCATTTATACAGTCTTTAGATAAAATTTTATAACCTTCACAAAGTTTACTGCCTCCAGGTGATGTTATGTCAAATGTATACAAGTCTAATACAGAAGATATTTCAGTTAGCAGCAGTTGTATACATTGAAGATTTGGTAGTAATGAACACCAAACAATACTTGATTTTATTTTATGGCTAATAGGCAAGATAGGTAAATTATCCATTGATTGTTAGTAATAAGACAGTTTAGATGATATCTTATTTTATATACTTCTAGCTTGGTTATAAATAGTGAGGAAAAAATATCATCCTCTTCAAAATTTGCCAAAAAAGGCGTGCCGGCATATTTTTTTCACTATTCTTTGTAAACATTATAAATTAAATAATTTATATATAATTTATATAATATAATGATGTCATTACTGCCAACACATGTTCTAATATTCTTTTAATTAGTAACTATTAAATTTAACATTACAGCAAGAAAAAAATTTTTTTTCCAAAATATTCTAAAAAAGGCGCAGTGGCATACTTTACTCAACAGAAAATAAATAATATGGTAATACAAAAATTAAAGTTTACCACATGTCTGGTAAAAATGAATTTGACATTACAACAAATTAAGAAAAAAGGTGTAGTGCCATGTTTATCCTGTCAGTTTTACATAACTAGACATATTTACCATATGTTTGGTAAAAGAATTTAATGTCAAAACAAATTCTATCCAAATTAGGTGTAGTGACATGTTTTATCCCATTAGTATCCTGTTTTTCATGAGATTCTACACAAATAGTAGATTTTATGTTTAACATTAATGATAACTCATACAGAAGGATCACCAAAATTCTGGATCAGAATGCATTGGAATCCTAGTCAGATGTTCCGGAATTGATTAATTTTGCCTAAGAACACTAAAAATTTTACTAATGAAGTCATAGCTCATTCATTAGGCAAAAATGTCCAGCTGATAATTTTACTATAAACTTATGTTGACTAACATTACTTAAGCTATCCCGATGCACCTGACCTGGAATTTTGATGATCCCCCTGTAAAAAATGTTAACGATAACAGTAGATTAAAAATAGTCGATTTTATTTCAAAACTTTTTGAATTTAATCTGAT